TCTGGTGCGCACTGCCATGGCCGTCCGTTCGCTTCAAACACCTTGAGATCAGATCCTGCAAACTCACACCCTCGTTGCAGCAACCTGCGCAGTCTGCACTGTTGCAGGTTCAGGCTGAAAGATCGAGGCCGGGGCTGAAGTAAACGAAATGCTCACAAAGCTCGGGAGCTGTCCTTGAAAACTTCCCGGAGACAACTGAAGCTACAGCAATCCTGTGGGCTTTCTAAAGTTCCGCGTAAGGAGAGCCCAAGCATGCCCTTGCCAAGTCTTGCTCTCTGCCTCCTCCTTGCGGTTCGCAACAGGCAGGGCACCTATTGCCTCGACCTAGCTTCGACCGGTTCTCAGCGACAGCAAGCGAGCCGGACGAGCTTACACAAGTCCCTCAATCAGACGTCCTAGAACCATTCAGGCGAGGTGCTGGCAGCGCCGTTGGCATCGCAGGGAGTTCGCCTCGACAAGATGGTCACCGGACCGGCGGCCCTCGCTAGTACCAGTACCAGCTCCGTGGGATCGAATCACAGCGCAAGATGTACTTCGAAAGCTCCAGTCGATCACAGCTGAATGTCATGCCAAACCTCTCCGAGGCATCCGACACCCGTTCTACCCCTCGACCTCATACGACTCGCTGCTTGCCGTCCCACTGAAGAAGACTCCGGCCTCTTTTCAGCGGGCCACAAGGTCAGATTCCCCCGTTCCAAGACTTCAACTACGGATGTGGTAAGTTGGGGAGTTGGGGACACCTGCGGTTGGGTGTCTATTTTTCGTTCTCGAGACTCCAGTGTCCCACAGTCCCACACCATCAGCTGAAAGTGAGCGACCCTCAGGGAAATCCACACCCCTCTGCCCTCACCGACGCGTCAGGGCTGAAACTCCAGCCTGGTAACAACCGATGTCCAAGTAGTGGACGATCAGCTGAGTGTCTGGGTGAAGTGTCACCTGTCGTGGGGAAGTACAGGCAAGCGCAGTTGGTATCAGCACTCAGCAATCTCCCGTCCGAGTCACGCCGTTGCATCCGACGCTGCCGCTGACGAAGCCCCAGCTTCCTTGATGCCGCATACCGACCTCAAAGCATTAAATCGTGGAATCTTAGATTGCAAACCCTTTCGAAGCAGTGGATCCCACCCGATCTCCGCACCTCCGCTGCTTGACAGTGGCAAGTGCTCGTCGGCCTATCGAAGCTGTAGTAGGCCTTGCGTGCGGGCTCACCCAGCGATCTCTCTCTGATATTCCAAACCACATGCAGAAGGACAGGTACGACTTCCGAAGAGCGCTGCTCTTCAGCAAACCACGTCGAAGATTCGGCATCGGTCAACATCTCACGAAAAAACTTCCCTGCATGTTCTGCCGAGGTGCGGCACCGGGCTGGTAGGAGCAAAGCTCCTGACACCTCCGAGCCGTCTCCTTGGAGAGTGGAGCTTCCAAGGCTTCGCCTAATCAAATTCAGCCATGCATCGGCAAACTGTGGCACCACCCCAGGCATGTCCAAGGGCAAGTAGGTGACACCATGTTCGTCGCCTTACTCGCATCGGCTACTGTCCATCGCTCTGCACTTGGAACCGCTGCCAAGCTGCATCGCTCGGTTGACGCCGGAGCGGCTGCCTGCAGAGAGATCCAATGAGCATTTGGGTTTCGCTGTACGACCCGCGGCAAAAATGAAAGTACCCTGCTCAAATTCTACAACGACGTGGACGAATTGCGGGAACTGCCATCTATGCCTGCGCGACTGTGGCTCCGGGGTGCGGCTTGCTCGCAGGACGCAGATGTGTCCCTTCCTGGCCACTCCCAGCGCTGAATTTGAGCATGCGGATGCAAGGGATATGCACAGCTGCTTCGGAAGCTGCGTGCTGCCTTCTGCCTGGGCGTACGAACGAGCTCTAGCAAGTGAGGGTCGTTCTCCTGCAGCAGGCAAGTTCAAAGTTCAAAGCAAAGCAGACTCAGAATGCATGGCGTTTCTGCTTCGGACTCCCTGCACCCATAAGGCATGCCAATCGACGGGATGGCACAACAGTGCCCCGGCCTCCCCCAAATGACAAGGCCGATAGCAGTTCGGATCACCCCGCTGCCATAAACTCCTTGGGCAATGCTGCTGCTGCACGAAAACTGCAACCCAAAGGCAGACCCAACGACGTTTTCGGGCTTACTACACGACGCGGAACCGAAGCATTCTGCGGAATAAAACCTGCGCGCTAACTGCCACGTCTTCTTGTAAGCTGCATCAGCAGCAGACCATCAACCAAAGACAAGGAGCTTGGCAAGCTCTCGCTTGCTGGATCCCGCCTCACTGCTGCGATTTGTCCCTCACTTCTCTAACAACTGGAGGCTGAGAAATGACAGAAAAGCATGATCCAATTCCATGCTTGTCACCGCAGAGAGTGTGTTTTCTCTCCTCTTCTTACTTCCCCTGGCTATGCACAGCAAACATCTGCTCCGATTCTTTGTCGATCCGTGCGGTCATGTAGAACACTCTCTCGGATTGAGGGGCTGGATCAACGCATCGAGTAACGTGTTCCTCTCTATCTATGACTTCGATTCTGCGGACGTTGTTGCCACCTCGACCGCTGCGTGCGCGCCTCTTTACAAGACCCGTTGGCCGAGAGCAAGAAAGCTCGTTTCTCGTTTTGCTTCCAGGCAATTAAGAGAAAAAGGCAGACAGCCTCCCTCCCCACGTCCCACGCGATGCCAAGCAACTCTCGCCCCGTGCGCAGATGCTCCCCTTTTGACCCCTGCCAGTGGAGACCCCACTCTCCTTTCCAGGAGCCAAGCTCTCCCTGTGTTTACCTCTCTACTCGTTGCAGCAAGGTCGCTGTGAGCTCCGGGTACCAAGACGGATGTTGGATCAGCTCCACCTCCCGCCGGGGCTTCCCAAGCTTGGGTTGCGGCTGACGCGCGCGCACGCACATCTTCTGAGCCTGCTGAAGCCAGTCCACTCGCAGCAGGCAGAGCGGCTGCAAGCGCAATTGCAGACAGGTCGCACCCTCAGCCGGTACAGTAGGGAGGAATACACATCAACACCAAGGAACAATCCTCCTAGACTGTAACACACCTCAGAATGTCGGTAAGTGAGCCTTCGATTCCGTGCTGCATTAATGCCAAAGTTGCGGAGGAACATGAAACACATTGCAAACATTCGAGCCTGAAGAGCCCCGTCTAACAGACAGGGCTTACCAACCCTCGTCGAACCGCTCGAACTTTCCGAACTTACCTGCATACGCTCTGCGCCCTCAAACTCTTTCCAACAGTTTTCCAACTGTTCCACCATACCAAGCAGACGTAGCAGTATCCCTCTGATATCCACGAGTACTGCATACTGAGCGCTGTCTCTCAGCACACCATACAAGACTACATTGCCTGCCGCGTTGCCCTGCAAGGCCGCGGGCAGCCATTTTGCGGCAACAAATGCAGCAGCGCCTTCCACTTTTATCATTTCAGCACACACGAAAGTCTTTTGTCGCAGGCTCGCGTGAAGCCGGACCTGAAAGTCGGAGAAGTCCGAATCTGAGGAAAGGCCGGGATACCTCACGCAGAGAGCACGGGGTCTCAACAGAACTCCCGCTGCAACGTTGGACAGCCGTCCAAGATACCAGTGTGGATGTTCGAAGATGCCGTGGCTCATTGCATAGAGCCTCTGCGGACACGATACTGTAGCTTGACAGGTTTCGCATCATGCGCAAAAGTCCTGGCCAAGACACACGTGACTGAAGCACTCCGTCCCCTGCTCGGCGTTCTGACATCTCGACTTCTCCTCGTCTGAGCTTCTCAGTGCCTTCCTGAGACGCAGGCATGGCACCGCTGCTCTGCTCATGTTTGCTAGCTTTACCACAATCATCCATAATCCCATCCAAACCGGACGCAGGCAAGGGACTGTGCTTCCTGCAAAAGGGACTCCTGGAGTTTCTTCTCCTGCTCGACCTTTTTCCTGCCCTCTTGCTCCTTGGTGCACAGAAGATGACGTCATTTGATGGACAGCTCTAACCAAAGCCGCGAGATGGTCGGCATCGGCCAAGGCACGCGGTGATGTGCGCGTGCAACTGTCCTTGCAAGCTCTGCCTTGCATGGCAGCAAGATGCAGCAAGAGTCCGGCTTCCCGACATCGTGGCGTCGCTGACTAGCTAGCCTTGCCTGCTCCAGAGCGGCAACTGACATGACATCGTCAGGATAACTTTCGCTTTCGCGGCCGCCAGGTGGTTGACCTCACGGCTGCAAGCCTGCGCTACACTCGAGAAGGGGATCTACCCCGCCTGCAGTCCCACAGTTCGCTTCGTCGGATGCATCCACGCAGTCCACAAGGCCATCACAGATGCGGCTTGCATCCACGCAGCGATGCCCGTGATCCTCAATTCTGGCCAAGCTTCTTGCACTGAAGCTTCCATCTGTTGAATACATACAGGACCTACATGTACGAGGGAGCTGGAAGGGATTGGAAAGGCCATGGTGTTGATCTTGTCTCCTGCTGCCATCGCAAAACAAAAAAGAGGCAAGAACGAAGCGTCTTGGCAGTCCAGGACATGGAACGAAAGGGAAAGCATCAGCTGTTGAAGATGTGCAGCCTGCTTCAATGTTCCAGCCAAGCCACGCAGGTAAAGGTTTCCTCCACAAAGAGACATGCACTGGTCAGCAGCTTGTTGGCAGCTGCCAGAACGAGAAGCCCCTACACAAAGCAACTTCCTCAACCAAAAACAAACCGTCACGCCAGCGCATAAACGGAGGGCCTGCTGACAGTCTGCATTAAGCGCGACCACGAACCCAAAGAACCATCCTGGCGTCGAGACATTGCAATGAAACTGTGGGATGACATGGGAATCAGCGTATCAGAAGTCAGCCTGTGCTGTACCAGAAACTCAGCGCAGGCATGCCCACCGAGAAGCATGCGAAACTCAAGGCATCCTAACCATCACCGAACCCTGCAAGCTTGATATGCTTGATGTTGGTAAGGATTGGCGGATTTAATGCTACTCCCCTCCCAACATGCTTACCGTGGCTTGAGCCTTCACGACAGCAAATCAAATATCAGGGGCGAAACTGCGCGAAGTTGCAGAAAGCTTCCGGCCTTTGCCCTGCGCAGCGCCTGTGATGATGCCAGGCAGGTCAAGAAGCTGAATCTTGCAATCATTGTAGTTGATGACACCTGGCATATCCAAAAACGTACACAAGCTTGCAGCTTCAAAAGCAAGCAACCTGGGATGCAGGTCAAGGTGGTGAACTCGTAGGCAGCTGCCTCGGGGCGATGCTGGGCCATCTATGCGTGTTTACTAGGCGCTACTGGCCACCTCGGACTGCACTCCAGTCAATGCGGTCAGAAGGGACGATTTCCCGACCTGGGTCGAAGGATCAGGATGTTCAGACATGGTAGGACGTAGGAGGCCGAAATTGCGACTATCCGTGACGCGGCTCAGCTGTGGACTGAAGGAAACCCGATGAGTGCACAGCGCGAATCCCCGAATCTCTGCACCTGCTCTTCATAGTCATCGCTGCTTGGCGGCATCATACAAAGCACAGCCTCGAAGCCCTTGGCTTTGCCACCACCTCCTCCTTTCTCTGGACTGATAAGCTCCTGGGGCATGTCGAGCAACTCACGAGACAGCATCGAATGTGTTTCGCCTTGCCTCCTGTTTGTACGGCTGACTGCCAAGCAAAGTAATCGAGTAGGACAGCTGCATGTTGTTAAATTGCCAGAACCGGGGTCGCATCACATTGACAAGTGTGAGCGCACCCATCAACTTCGTTCTGCTGGCCACCACTGGTCTCAGACACGTGTCCCTTCTGGCAGCGCAAAGTTTGGCCTTCAGGTCCTCAGCGGTCGCTGTCGGATGTTGTTGTTAACTAACATTACATCTCCCCAAATGATACGGGCAAAGTAAAGAATGTGCTGGTCTGGTGGCACCTCTTACAAACATGGCGATTGCATCCAGCTTCAACTCGCGAATCGTGCATCTAAGAATCTCCCAAGTGTTTCGCTGTAGCTTTGTTCTTCTGGGTCCTTCGCACACATGCGACATGGTTTTCAATCTGCAACTTGAAGTTTCGCCACAGGCAAGCATTGTCAAAACCTCTGCAAAGCGTCGTCTGCCACAAACATGCCGCAATTGTCATTCTGGCTTCAGCTGCTCTCAATTCCCCGACAAGCACCGGTCCTTGCAATCTCAAGTTCGAGCGTCGCGATCTTTTCCAATAGCGCCGGCATTGCACCAATCGCCCAGAATTGCTACTGCCACTAATCTGAGGTGGTACACAAGCTTCAATTTGTGTGTAACTGGATGTGTGGTGACCATGTCAACGCGATCTACGCTTAGACTGTCTTGCAGTCTTGCACAATTGTGCGAGTAAATTTCCTTAGCTGCGAAAGTCAAATGTTTCTTGCAAGGGGGTGGAGATTTTGTGGTTGCGAACTGCGTACAGCCACTCCTGCGAGTCATGCACGCAACAGCAGTAACGATTGAATCCCAAGAGAACTACGTTACAATGATTGCGCATCATGCCACAAGTCGATGCGAGTGGTACTGAAATAGCATGACCGCGCCGTCGCCTCGTGTCTCAACATCCAGAAAATTGCCACGGCGCGGCTTCCACTCGGGCCACGTGGGCTGGGTCTGCGATCTGCCACCTTCGACGCGAGGCTGGCCCAGCCGGCCGGCCCAGACTTGGCCTGCGGCGGGGCACAGCCGCTTTCCGACCCGCAGATGGCAGCCGGGACTTGCAGCTTGGAGCCGGTAGACTGTTGTAGGTTGGTCGGGGCGTGAGACCGCTTCAGCAGGGAGGAAAATGAGCAAAACTCCGTGGAAATGCCAACCCGGCAGGCCGTTGGCGACGACCTCAATGCAGTGTGCGCTGCTGACGGGAACATCGATGTTCCTGTCGACGAACCTGACGTTGCGAGGAACTCACGTGCTGCCCCGTGGAAGGGCAGCCCATCTGGCCGTCCCCGTGCAGGGGGTGCGGTGCACCCGGCACGGCCTCAGTGGCTGCAAGGGGGCGGGCCACGCCTGTCCCAGAGCAGTGCTGGCCACGGCTTGCTGCGCCGCATTGAAAGTTGGCACCACCACCGCCGCGTCCAGGCCGTTCGCTGCGCTGCGGTTCGTTGCGCTGCGCAAATGCTGGTGGGGCGGACGAGGGCCCGCACGAAACGAAGAGCGTCCGTACTATCCGTATTCCATCGCCCTCCGAAATCGGGCATGCGCAAGGAAGTCACAAATCTTCTCGGCTTGTGTGGTTTCCCGCTTCATGTATTCCCTTCATACAGCTTGGCCTTGTAGAGCTGACGTTCGCAAACGTGATGCCTTTCAAGCCCGTTGCCTTCGTTCAATTCTCGACTAACCACACTCATTCATCAGCCGCGTGCGCAACGAGTCGGTGTTACAAGAAGCTGGCACTGAGAAACTTTCAATCATTCCTTGGCGCCGACAGCTGCTACTTCTGGGGCGCATCGCGCAAATTCCACGGGAGGATGTCATGCGAACATGTATTTTCCACGGTCACGCGGTCCCTGCGAAACCAAGGTCAGACTACGGAGGCCATTCAGGGCATGCGGCTGGCAAGAGGAGGAGGGGCCGATGGTTCGGCAAGCAGGTCGCTGAGGAGCGGAGGATCTCCGTCGACATT